TTTTTTTTTTTTTTTTGCACACGGCGGTGGAGGCCTAAAGCGAAAAGGTTTTATAAAACCCAGCTGAAGGCCTAGGATTGGGGCGACGGCGCGCGTGCCCACAGAGAGGGCTCTGAGTGCCGCCTCTGGCACCCGTGCCATAGGTTCGCCACCACTGCTCTAGACGGTTCTTTAGAGAGGAATGAGTGGCTGGGATTTTCTCTTGCTTTGGAAGCATCCAAGTAGTGTTAAGTGAACTCATATTCACATAGCTGAAAGGCTGACCACCTCTGATCAAAAAAACTTAAGATGTGATGGATTCTGTTTTCCAAAATTAGTTTGGTTTAAGTAGAATCCAGATTTTAAAAATAAATTGCCATTTCTACAGAATTCGCCCCCATCTTTCAATAATGGGAAGCTAAAATGAAATAAACACACTTAGCAACTAGGGGGTATAAATGTAACTTTATTTTAAAATTTCCAAGACAATAAGTCCATAATCAGTTCTTCTAAGTGAAAGAACATTCAGAGACTGTAATTACAGCACACATATACTTATTTGGTGATAAGCATGATTGAAAAACATGCACAGAACTTAACTACTGAATGGACTAAACTTCAGATCAGGCAAAGGAAGCAGAGATCTGAACAATTAATTACATACTGTTTGTTGTTAAAGACAAGTTAATTGTTTAATATGATGAAACATTTGAAAAATGAATGCTAAGACTGCATAATAACTTGGAATGAATACATTTATTAGCTTTCTGATGTTTGGTAGATTGAAAATGTTTTCCTGAAATGAACGCAATGGACAAAAATCAGCAGGAAAAAATAAGCAGATTCAACAAGAGGTTTAGGCAGTAAGAAATATCTGCTAGGCTAAATTTCTACTGGAATTAACTGTATTTAACAGGAGATATTATAGTTCTGTTGCCCATCAAAATGGACATTTTGTTTTAAAAGGCCTCCCCCCTTAAAAAAAAAAGTTTGAGATGCTTAAAAGCTGCTTACTCATCTGAACCCCACTCTCCCTCCTTCCTTTTCACTTGACCCTCATCATTTTTCTTCTGTCAGTTTGGTCCATGTTGATAAAATGGTCGCTTGTAAGAATGAGTCTAGTCATTATGAACTTAATATTCTTAAAGGAATTAAGGATATATCTGACAGTGCACAGCGTTCATTCTTGCTTTGGACACATGAGGTTGTCAGTACTCCTGTGGGATTTCCAAGTTCAAACTGATAATGTCTTGACTCATAAACACGCCAGGTTGAACTGTGGTTGGAAAAAAATGTAGATAATTGATGTGGGAACACTGGGGGGACAGTAGAATAGATGACCAAGAATTGGAGAAGATCAGAAAATACCAACAACTGAAAATCAAAGTTGAAAGATTATGGCATGATGGTCCCAGTGCTTATTGACACACTGGATACCATACAAAAACATCTTGGATGGCACTTATAAAATCTGCTCATTGACAAAATTTCCATCTGTCAATTGCAAAAGCCTACACTGCTTGGATCTGCACAAATACTGCACCAATACAATTATGACATCCTAGGTCTTGGGAAGAACTCAAAGCATATGAAGAGCTGACCTCACATTGTCATGAACAGATAATTCCTAAGCTGAGTGTTTAAGTTGATGATAGGCTTGATTACACAGATGTCATATTCCATCTGGTCTTCTGCATTTTCAGAATATTGCAATGTTTAACAAATGGTCACATATTTTGTTATATTTTGCCATTGCCAGCGGTAGCACTGGCAGCATCTATACCAGCTGCATAGCCAGTTTTTTTTTGGCTGAATGCAATGCCCTCTAGTTTATACACAGTAAAGAGATTGATTTCACAACTGAACATATTCGCAAAGTGTGTGTATGTGAAGTGGGTAGGGAGCAGAGGAATGTTTTCTATGACAAATAGCCTTGAATGGATTCCCCCCCTGTTTTTTCTAATAACGGTGTCACTGTTGAATAACTCCAATTTCCCTGGAGTAAATAGGATGAGACTGCAATCAAAATATAGATTTTTTTTAAAAAAAAATGTTATATCGTTTTTCTCTGAGGAACAAGATTTATATTCAAAACATGGCTGGGAATTGAGAAACCAATTGGTTAATAAATCTTTCCAGCGCCCACTAGTTTTGCCCTTCCATCATTCTGGTGTGGTGTGGGTCCCTTCTGGTAATAATTTATTCAGCCACGAAGATGTGGTATTTTTTCATGCTTCTGCATGCTTAATCAGGAAGAACTCTGACTGCTTTTATTGAGGCAAGAGCACGCAAGCAAGGAATTGTTGCCTTTTTCAGACAGATGCTGGGATAAATTATTATGGTTTGTGCATACTAGGTTCAAATGGAAAAAGGAATAGAGGAGTGGAAAGTGGTAGGTAATTCACTCAAAACAGATCAGCACTTCTCTAGGGAAGGTAAGCATAGAAAGGACAGACGTGACCCTATAATTAAAGTTTTGTTTCTGAAGATGCATGTAAAAAGGAGGCAGCATCCTGTTGTGGCTGCTCTCTTGGCTTTTTTTGACCTCCCCCTCCCAGAGACATTCCTTAACCTATTTGTATTTCTCCTTGGTACAGATAATCCTCAATTTATGACCATATTGAGCCTGGAATTTGATTGTAATTCATGGCTGCCATTAAGTGCAACATCACATGATCTGACTTGAGTTTATAATCGGTTTTATGATGCTAGCTAAGCACGTCACCGTGATTGTTAAGTGGACCACGTGGGGTTGTTAAGTGAATCCATTATATCCAATGGTCCATTTTTGCCATTTTCTGCCAGAAAAACGGGGGAAAATGTCATAAATCATTGTCACGTGAACATGGGATACTGCAACTTGTAAATGTGAACCACTTCCAGGTGCCCCAGTGCCTTCTTCTGATTGTGTGTGGTGTGCGGAGGAGGCAGTCATAACTTTGAGAACAGTTCCTAAATAACTATTTTTGTGTCCATCGTAACTTTGAAAGGTTGTTAAGTGACTGGTTGTTAAGCAAAGACAACCTGTGTCTCAAAGCCCTGGAAGTAAGAGACAAATAAACAACAAAAGATTGCAATGTATCAAAATGTAAAAGAGAATTTGTTGCTCAAAGAAAAGTGTGAGATTTATTGTGGAGACTCTGAAAATGGGTCCTGCTTCTGGGATGGTGCCATAAGGCCTAGGCCAAGGGTGGGGAAACTTGGCTCTTTTATGACTTGTGGACTTCAATACCCAGAATTCTTGAACCAGCCATGCTGACTCAGGAATTCTGGGAGTTGAAGTCCACAAGTCATAAAAGAGCCAAAGTTCCCCACCCCTGGCCTAGGGATATTTAGAAGTGTAGCAACCTGCCCTGTTTCCCCAATATGATCTCTGGAGCTCTAGAAAAGATAAGTGTACGATTTGTGACGGGGGTGGGGGTTAGGTGGAGGGGATGGGAACTGGTGGGTGAGAAGCAGGCCCAAGACTGGGGACCCTAATAGGCAGAAAGGGGGGAAGGTAGTGAGAGGTCCTGCTGCAGCATCCCTGTGGCCGGTCATAAGGACGAATCCGCCCGAATTTTATGTATGTCACTGTGGGGGTGCTAGAGTGGCCATATTTTACTATCAGGTTGTAAGTTAGCTTTTGGATGGGTCTGTTGTAACTTTGAATGGTCACTAAGTAACTGGTTATAAGTAGAGGACTACATCTCTGGGAGGTAGACTTAAAAAAAATCTTCTGCTATTCTTTTTACAGAGAAGAATGTCAAATTTAGCATTAGCTTCATTTGCAGAAACATGTGCTATTTATCCCATCAGTGCCAGCATCGCATGGTGGATAGTTTTCTGAGACAGCTAGTTGCAATTTAATTTGAGTTTCAAGCATTGGAGCTGTTAGGTTCAATGATATTGTCGTGTTGGAAACTGAGAAAAAAGAAAGGGGAAAAAAAGCGTTATATTTCCAGGAGAGAGTTAAGAAAGCTAAAACGAATCCCAGTATTCACTCTGTAGAAACAGAACTGGCAGTAGATTTTGCTGTTGTCTGGGGAGATTAGGTCTGGCTGCTTAGTAGCCAGCTATAATTTCTTTTTTGATCTATGGGGCTAGAGAAAAAGCTGCTGCAGCAAGAAATGATAACAAATAATAAGGAGTTTCAAAACAGCCCTTCTCAGCTTCCAGAGGAATGGACCTGAATGCCCAGAATTTCCCAGGTAGAATGTCTGAGCCTGAGAATTCTGGGAGTTGAAGTCCCAAGTTTGAAAAGTCTTCTCCTTGGAATTAAGGAGAAACTTCCTGACAGTGAGGACAATCAACCAGTAGAACAGCTTACCCCCAGAAATCGTGGGTGCTCCATCACTGGAGATTTTTAAGAAGAGACTAGACCAGTGGTTCTCAACCTGTGGGTTGGGACCCCATTTGGGGTTGATCGACCATTTCACGGGGGTCGCCAAGCAAGGCTGTCCGCCATTTTTTTGCCCATTTTTTCCCCTTTTCCGGGGGGGTGCCTTACCTCCCTTGGGCTGGGCCACCTGGTGGTCGGCCTGCTCCGTCTCTGCCGCTTGCCAGCTACGCCTCGGCCGGCGCAGGGGGCGGAACCACGCATGCGCAGCCCTCCCAGGCAGGGAAAGTCCTTGACTTACGACCGGTTGGGTAGTCCTCGACTTACGACCGGTTGGGTCGTCCTCGACTTACGACCGGTTTAGTCCTCGACTTACGACCGGTTTAGTCCTCGACTTACGACCGGTTGGGGTCGCGGCATTAAAAAGGTTGAGAACCACTGGACTAGACATTCACCTGTCTGAGATGGTATAGGTTCTCCTGCTTGAGCAGAAGGCCTCCAAGGTCCCTTCCAGCTTCTATTCTATTCACTTTCTCCAAAAGCTCAACCTTCGTGATAATGTATAGATCTATGCCAGTGTTTCTCAATCTCAGCCACTTAGCAAGGCTGGCTGGGAAGTTCTGGGAGTTGGACCACACATCTTAAAGCTGCTAAGGTGGAGAAGCGCTGATCTATGCCTTAAAGTTAAAATATAAATTTGCACAGGGCAGCCATCAACTCTCCTACTTCCTTGCATGTCTGTCATTTTAATAAGCAGAAGAGGAGAACTCCCTGGAAAACACTGATAGATATGAAAAAAAGGCAGGCCATACACTATCACAAGAATCACAAGAAACTTCCAAATTTATTTCTCAGTACTTGTTTGGAAGGATTTCTTTGTCTTAAATTGTCTTTGACAAAGTTTATTGCATCCAAAGCATGTTGGAGAATGTGACAACCACTTTATTGGGCAAGCCAAATCTTCATGCTTTTTTCAGAAAGCAGAATTTAATTTCTTATTGATCAATGTCACACATGCCAATTGTCTGAAAAAAAAAGATGTAATAAACATTAAGTTTTCCTCTAAATTCATTGTGGGACACAACATATCAGAAATGAAAATAAATAGAATTAATTATAACAATACAAACAGAATTATGCCCATTACAGACCTTCCCAAAGAGAGAGAAAATGAATATACATCTACCTTTTTGAACTTCAGCTTGTACAGTCACAGTATATTTATTAAAACTCTGTGTGTCTAGCTTGTTTGAGTTCTCAGGATTATAATTTAAGACACAGCATATCAAGCAGCACCTGTGAATTGTTCTCTTTTTATACAGCGAGCAAAACAACACAAGCATTTTGATTCAATTCTAAGCAATATTTCTTTACAAATTCCTCCTCTTGGCCCAGATAACATCTGCAATAAATCCAATAGCAGCAGGTTGAGTTAGAAGTGACTGCCCAGGCATTTGAGAATGTATTCTTTCTCTACTGGGAAAGTAAGGCTTCCTGCATCTATGTTGGTAGTTTAGAGCAAAGGTTCCCACCCCCCAGTCCGTAGACTGGCACCGGACCACGGCATGCCACAATCCGGTCCGCACAAACAAGCAAAGCCCCATCTGCGGGATGCAGGCAGTACATGAAACCACGCCCCCTCTAGTCCACGGAAAAACCTCTCTCCACAGAACTGGTCCCTGGTGCTCAAAAGGTTGGGGACCTCTGGTCAAGAGAGTTAGCTAAAGATAGTATGAGTATTGTTACTCCAATATTCTACTCCCCACTTAAAGATAAGCATAGGATATTTATCCCAGTTGGCTTTTCTTCCATATCTCTCTGGGTGGCAGCTGCTCTCTCACATCTGTTAGGATGTGCACTTCCCCATTCTTTTCTGTCTCCCCACCACAAAGACCATCTGCACATGGTAGAATTTCCTCCAGAAGGCTCCACTTTTTCTTTAGTGCTCTTGTCCATATTCAGTCTGTTCCACTTCTCTGAACTCTTCTTAGGCCAGGAACAAACTTTCAACAGCCAACAATATCCAAGTTTGGCTCTGTCTACCCATCATTTCCCCTTTGTCCCTCTTCTTCTTTTTTCCTCCTGATGTCACCATCAGTCTCCTTCTTGCCTGCTGAGCAGTAGTTCCCCTTTCCAATGGGAAAGTACATTATATTATCTACTCTCAGCTACAAAAAATAAAATAAAATTCCAGTACAGTATCTGAGTATGTACATGACAGTATGCTAAAGAGGCATAGGTGACTATGGATTGATTGCTTGAGTGCTTGATTGATTGACTGATTGATTATCTACTATCAAGTGGGTGTCAATTCTTAGCAACCAAATAGATTTCTTCCCCAAGACAATCTGTCCTTGTCCTTTAGGTCTTACAACAGGGCATCCATTAACAATATAACTGTGTCCATCCACCTTACTACTGATTGTTCCCTTCTTTTCTTTCCCTTCATATTTCCCAGCATTTCAGCCTTCTCAAGACAGCTTGGTCTTCATATAATGTATCTGAAGTAGGATGGCCCATCATGTCTCAAGTGAGAACTCTGATTGACTATTGACTGGCTCAATCTGACAGAAAAAAGGGATGAAGCCAAATTATTATCAAAAAATACCAAGAAAATGTATTCCATAATTCTTCCATCCAACACTTCATACTTATTCCCTCCTTAGGGGCAACTACTGCTGCTGGACCAACACAAGTCATTTCATTTTATTAATGTGAAGCATCAGAACGTGCCCTTAAAAAAGGAGTAATTCTGAAGTGTTTTGAGCAACCAGCATTACTCTGAATAAGTTATTGTCTTCTCATGCTTCTTGACTTTGTGACTCAAGTTTTGGCTCTCCCTTTCAGTTTGGCCCATGCATAAACACTGCCTATAGTTTTTAAAAGAATGCTGCTGAAATTAACAGAGGGATAGAATCAAGATCACGTGAAGTGTTAATACCACTTCACAATGCCTTGGTAAGGCCACACTTGGAATACTGCATCCAGTTTTGGTCACCGCGATATAAAAAAGATGTTGAGACTCTAGAAAGAGTACAGAGAAGAGCAACAAAGATGATTAGGGGACTGGAGGTTAAAACATATAAGGAACGGTTGCTGGAATTGGGTATGTCTAATTTAATGAAGAGAAGGACGAGGGGAGACATGATAGCAGTGTTCCAATATCTCAGGGGCTGCCACAAAGAAGAGGGAGTCAAGCTATTCTCCAAAGCAACTGAAGGCAGGATAAGAAGCAACGGATGGAAACTAACCAAAGAGAGAAGCAATCTAGAACTAAGGAGAAACTTCCTGACAGTTAGAACAATTAAGCAGTGGAACAACCTGCCTCCAGAAGCGGTGAATGCTCCAACACTGGATGTTTTTAAGAAGAGACTGGACAGCCATTTGTCCAAAATGGTATAGGGTTTTCTGCCTGAGCAGGGGGTTGGACTAGATGACCTCCCAGGTCCCTTCCAACTTTACTACTACTACTACTACTACTACTACTACTACTACTACTACTACTACTACTACTACTATTATTATTATTATTATTATTATTATTATTATTATTATTATTATTATTATTAAATATTCAAGAATGGGAGCCTTACTAGCATAGCCATGTGAAACAGCATCATGGATCTGTTGTTTCTCTGCTTAAGCTCAAGGGTAAAGGCTAATTGATCTGTCAGGAAAGGAAGCTCAAAATGGTTTCACAAAGTTTTGCAATTGGAACAGAATCACTAGCATAATTTGAAAACAGAACAGTTTGACTTCCCCCAGAAACTTGAAAAAAAGGAAGGCATATGTTACTTTTTCAACACCAGGTCTACTTCACTCCTCCAGAATAGTCTAAAAATGGTGCAAGAGTTATTATCTTTAGTTTGTGCTTCATGTGGGCCCCTTATTGTCCTTCCCTTTCCCAAAAGCATTCTAAGGGAAAGGATTCTCCCTTTTTTGCTACTTAAGATGAGGCTCAGATTCTTCTTGTGACTTCTGGACTAAGGTCAAAGAATGGTTGGAAGAAATACTAGAGCGAGTGGTAGAGTTAAAACCAGAATTTTTCCTATTAGGTATAACAACGCAGAAGTATGACAAAGGCATACTCTATTTGATGCTACACCTCCTAACGGCTTCCAGATTGGTTTATGCTCAAAACTGGAGAAATAAGGGAACTCCAACGGAAGAAGAAATCCTGTATAAAAATGTATCATGTGCAGAGATGGACAGGCTTACAATGGCTATGAAAGATAAGACAGAACTGGAATATTTCGAAATCTGGGACAAATTTTACCGCTGGTATGAATCAAGGAGAACCGCTCGGATCTTAAGCTAACGATAGGATTGAAACATACATATAATTGTTTTCTGAGATTTTCGCGGGTGTTTGTACGTAGGTCTTTAGTTATTCGGGTTTTCTCCCGCGTAGCATTAGAAGTGTCTACGTGGGAGAAAACCCGAATAACTAAAGACATACATATAATTGTACATATAATTGTATATATAATTGTATTGTGTAGAAGAATGAGGTTTATATAGAGGTTAAGGATGATGTATTAAGTTTTTGTATCACGAGAAACAAATTGTTAGGAATATTTACTTT